CACACACACACACACACACACACACACACACACACACACACAAATAAAAATTTAAAAAAAAAGAACTTGTGTCCATCAGATAGTCAACAATTTATTCTCAATAAGATATTCTTAGTACCTCACATCTATATATGTACTTACATCTATTTCCGTATTTTATTTGTGTGTTTATGTACGCTATGTGATACTCATTTATAGCTGACATATTTTTCAAGGTAATTTTTCTGAACCAATACTGAACTTTTATCAGCTTGACTATTTGTGTCTCAATAAGATGACAGGGAACAAGGCAACCTTTTTATAATAGTTTTATTTTTTCTTTAAATTTTAAATATTAATACTGAAGTTAATGGGAAATAGCCCTCCAAAATGCATGTATGGTTTCTTTCCTTTTTGACAATCACTAGAGTATAAAATGACTAAGTAAAATTTATATTGAATATCTTGTTACTCATGTTCAGATTTGATATAATCCAATATATTCTTAAATTTCCCAAATGCAAGAAAACAAAAATATGATAAACGTCAACTTTCCTATGTTATACCATAACAAGGTTCCAATTCATCATTAATTTTTTGATAACAGGAACAAATGATTCTTCTTGAATTTCCAATTTACTTAAACAGAGTGGCGTTTTGACTTTCAGGCTTACAGTTCAAGCGGAATGTCCAATGCATTTGGAGGATTTCCCAATGGATGCTCATTCATGTCCTCTGAAATTTGGCAGCTGTAAGTACAAGGGTGAAAATACATGGTTTGGGTCAATATCAAGAATAATCCACAGTACTGCTCTGATGTGTCACTGTTTCTCACTTTATGGAATGCTTATTACTGTACTGACCCAGAAAGGTATAGAAGTGAAAGATATGATAAGTACACTTAATGAACTAATTTTCTAACACTAGGTTATTCTCAATTATGGTGATGTGGTATCTAAATTATTACTTGTATTACCCCTTGGAAAGAATACATGATTTTTAGTACATATGCAAATGTAGACTTGGAGCTCCTATAAGGTCAGGACCGCAACCATCTTTTCCAAAAAATGTAAAACATGTAAAATAATTTTCTTTTTCATCAACTAAGAATGTATCATAAAAAGGAGATTCTGTTGTTTGTACTCAGCGTGCCAGAAAAAGCAGACACAAAAGTTGAGTCTGTGCAGTTGCCTTCTGTATTATGTTCTTACTAAAAAGGATTTTTCCTCTTAAATTGAAGGTTATGATGTCATTGGACTTCTGTGTGCAGGCACCCTCTGTGTGTGCAGAGCATTCCACAAAAGCTCGGTGCCTCTGGCCATTCTTTAGGTTACTGGGTTATGTCTTGTATGTCAAGCAGAAACATGCACATTCTGCAGAACGGGAAAGGAGGAAGGTCAAACCATTTCCCTAGGCAAGCTGAGAATTAAATTCATGAATCCAGCTAAGTCTTTGGTCTTGTGCAAGCATGTCTCCTCGCCTGGTCTTTTAGAAATTGTGCTTCCCTGGCACCTCCATCCTTATAATTCTAGGCAGTTTTGGACTTATTTTGGTCTGTTGAATAAAAATGCAGAGCTCTCACCTGATTAAAAATACATATTGCTGAAAAATATGTCTTTCCTTAGACTGTAGCCACTGAAAAGAAAAGAACGATGACTACTATAAATATCAAACCCTCTAACTGTTTTTGATGACCATCGTTTTGAGCAGTCAGTTGTGTCTTGTTCGCCTGCGCATTCTTACAAAGGTGCCTGTTCTCAATTTTCTTTAGAATCTCTCTTATTTAAACACAGGGCCTTTCTTTATTATTATGGCAACCACACTTCAAAGTTGGCATTTCTTCAAACATCATTTAAGTTAGTCAATCATGGCATACAATATAAATATGATGCTAGAAAAACCCAAGCAGAAGCGACAGCAAAAAACTCATTTGCATTGCATAACTGTCCTTTAAAGGAGGCTTGTAAAGCCAAATCATGAATGTAATTTATCCAAGATTCGTTAGTGATATAGGAAGGAAAAGCTTTTTGTCTTGGACAAAACACTGTTATTATGACTAATGTCAAAGATAAATGATGAACTGTATCAATATGGAGCATGATATAATTTAAAAGTGTATTTTATGTAAAATTTAAACATCTCATATAGCTCAGCTACAGATTCATCCTTTTCTCAATACAGGAATCCTGTGGTCAACACATAAAGTTTCAGTTAAGCTTTCCCTGTTAAGAAATTATTATTTATTTTACATTCTTCATATATGTATTCTTATACATTGAATAAGCAATTTGCACGTTCTCCTAGTTGTCCTTGTCAGCAGTAAGTGCTGAGTGCCTACTGTTGAAAGTGTGGACTGGCAGCGTGGAGTAGACACATGAACGGAGTCAGACCTTCACATGCTTTGCAACAGCATTTGAAAGAAGCAGGCTTAACTATTTTATTTGTACTCATTTATTTTTCTTTTACATAGAAGTTCTTTCTGTCCTTAAAAGTGATTTAATTTCTATTACTTTATCATTGTACTCAAAGAGGAGACATCTCTTTCATGTTTAGAAATTTAAATTCAGTCTTGATTTGTCGATTTTATTTTTGGCTCATGTCTTTATATGTTTTTCTTGTTTCACATACTGTTAAGCTTCCTGAATGGAAGTAGATTACAGTATTCTGTGACTGCACCCCAAAACACTGCGAATTATCTTTGAGGAGGACTGTTAATAGTAACAAGCGACCTGACTAAGAGTCAGTCAGCATATATTGCTACATAGTACTCAAACATAGATTGTTTAACAAAATTAAATAAAACTTTAACTATGGCCTAATTTAGAAGTCGAATTTACCGTGAATTTTGTAAAACTAACTCTTACACTCATCCTTTACTCTTACTAAGAGCAAAGCTGATGTTTTCTTGGTTTATCTTTGCATGTGCACATGTACCTATGTGTGTGTGCACGCACATAGATGCAAAAACCCACCAGTCTGCACTTTATGACTGTTATACAATCTTTTATCAGATCCAAATTCTAAAGAAATAAAACATAGTAGATTCCTAATTGACTCAATTTAATAACTTCTTTTCAAAAAGATTTGTGGTCATTTATTTGCAATATATTCTTGGGCTTTTCTCTATATTTCCATCTTCTGTACCTGTAGTTTACACTGAAATATTGAATTTACTCATTAATCTAACAAAAATGCTGACAAACATGAATAAGAGTCCCTTCCCATCAATAGCTCACTAATTTTTAAAGAATATTATTGTTTTTGTAGGCTTTCCTTTTTCTTATGCTTCAAGTTAACCTCAGAACTCAAACATGATGTATTACAATTACTTTTAGAAATGAGTAATTTATTAAAATTTGTACCTATGAGGTATTATTGGAGAGTATTTCTACCATGAAGTGACATGTTCAATGTACCTTTTGATCTGTTGAATTTTTTAGCTTTTTGAAGTTTGTTAAGAGGAGGTCAGTGTGTGTATTCATGGGCAAAACAAAATTTGTCACTTGATGCCCTTCAAATGATCTCTAATGAGCTGCAGCACTAAGCTATCATTTCATCTTCTCAGAAGAATTATTAGTGATTAACTAAAAGTAGTTAAAGACAATTTAGGCTTCAGGATAATTAGAATTTATTAATATGAAAATGTATAGTTACCTGCTATTAAAGCATATACATACACATATGGTAAGCATATTTAGCTACATAAATTTGCATAGACATATATATATATCTTTATCTATAGATATATAGATAGATAGATATACTTTTTAAAGGGCCCTATTTCAAATGTTGTTTCACATAATATAATTTTCTTGTGGATGTATATGAATAAATGTATAAGTGATATGCTGTATTACTGATATTAAGATTTGGTAGCTACGTTAAAATGCCAAATACAGTGGTCTGTCACTTATCATGGAGGTTATGTTACAGACACCCCTGTGATAAATGAAAATAAGCAAAGTAGAGATGTTATAGTTATTTATTTTTTTCTATATTTTAGGGAAGGGTCTATAGGGTGTTCAGGGTCTCACTCCTAGATCGGACTCGTAGTAATCTGCCTGTTTACATCCTCCCAAGAGCTGGGATTACAGGCATGCGCCACCATGCCCAGTCTCAATTGCCATCTCAGCATGCCCAGGGAGTGGGGCCAGCATGGCAGGCCCCAAGGATCTATTACCGGCCCCTGCACCGGTTTGCAGGTGCTTTAATCCACTGAGCTATTTGGCCGGCCCTCATTATATTTATTATAGTATTTATACATATTTTAAGGCTTTATAAACACTTCCCACACTTTTAAAAACACTTCTAATATGCTTCACCATTTTGTAAATTCATAAACCTGTGTGATTTTAACAACATAGGTACAGTGTGGGGTACTGCAAGATCCCATGATATAGCAAAACATCCTTGATAATTTAGATTAATATTTTTTGAAAATGCATGAAACAGTGAATCAGTGGAAGTTGAACCATGAAATAGAGACTACTGTGACACTGAAACATTTCTTTCCCCACTGTGTATGTAAGCATGATTGTTTGGGCAACTGTACTGTGGATTTCTACTCATCTATGGAAAGGAGCAGTTAATGCTTTATATATTTCATCTCTTTTTTTCAATTATTTGTCCTTTTCCTCCTTTTAATTTCTTATATATTTCTTTCTGATTTTTTCTTTCTTCTTCCAATTTTGCATGCATATATCTGGTAATATGAAGAGTTAAGTTGAAGACAACACTATGCATTGTAACAAATACTATGAAATTAATATTATTTTGTTAAGTGAAATTCTGCATCACTTGTAACTTTTCTGGTTTAATAATACTATTTAGTACTGTCTTTTAAAAATAAGAAAAATAACATTGAAAACGTCATTAAAAGATCACATAGGAAATAATAAATAAACTCATAAACATTCAAACATTGTTACCCATGCTTGAAAGAAAATTTATTTATGATCACAGATCTTGAATCAAGTTCCATACAAGGACAACTCCAGCATTATGCTATTAAGTGACAAAATTTATTGAGGTCAAAAAAATGAGATTTCCTTTCTTTTAGAGAATTAGAGTAGAGATGTTGCCAAGCACAACTGGTCATTTTTTTCTCCCACCATTGAGAATATAGTTGAGATATTGATGCAGGCAGGCATCAGGAGTATTTCTACATTTCTAAGCATTCCCATGAGCAAAAAACTACATAGATATTCTGCAAAAGTCATCGGAGTAACAGAAATTATATCTTTTTTTCAACTGTGGAGAGAATGCCTACCTGGAGAGGTCACTTGTTTCCATACAGGACATGTAAGGTTGAAAGACCAGAGCACACAAAGGATGAAGCCAGACAGGTCACGTGAATCCTAGCACTGGAGTCTTCTCTCTTCTGTATAGTTCTACACTCTTGTCGCAATAAACAACAGCTGTGTCTGCTCTGCTTATGTTTTATTGCTATCTGTGAATCTAAGAGAACATTTTGAGTGATGTTCTTGAGCACTAAGTTTAAAATCTTCTGAAATTCTTAATCTGCTAATAAAATATATTGTATTATGATCCCTAACTTATTTAACTTGAAACTAAGTTACTTTCATATTCAGAAGGCAATACAACTATAGATTATGAATAGTTACCATTTCTAAATAAACTATTTGAGTGGACATAGGTTATTCATAACTTCTGAAAATAGTTTCATCTACTACCTTGGGACTCATGGTGCTGTTTATCCATCTTAGATAGTTTGCCATGACTAGGTAGACTCATGATTATTTCTGCATCTCCTTCATATAAATTATATTAAATTTATAAATTATAAGGATATATTTTTGCCCTTTAAATCTAATCTGTAGGGCCAGACAGATAGCTCAGCAGATTAAAGCACCTGCTTAGGCAGACACAGGGACCAGAATTCGATCAAAGGCATGCAGTGCCAGCCCTGCCCCCATGCTGAGACAGCAATTGAGACTGAGTGTGATGGTATGTGCCTGTAATCCTAAAACCTGGGAGGCTGAAAACAGGAGGCTCACTACGAGTCCAACCTGTGTACTGAGATCCTGTATACCCTGTACTAAAATACATGAAATAAATAAATGAATAAGCTAATCTGTAAATATTAAATTTATAGTAAACTAATTCTATCAGATAAGCTTGGATGTTGCATGCTGTTGGTGGTCAGTAGAGGACATCAGGCATTTTCAGGGTGGGATGGCCATAGACTATTGGCAGTTGCTATTCAAATGTTTGTAACTTTTTTCTTCTGATTTTGACAGATGCATATACAACCTCAGAAGTCACTTATGTTTGGACTTACAATGCATCTGATTCAGTACAGGTTGCTCCTGATGGCTCCAGGTTAAATCAGTATGACCTACTGGGCCAATCAGTTGGGAAGGAAACAATTAAATCCAGCACAGGTTAGTAAAATGGGTCTGAAGAAAAGCTATACAGTTATTGAAAGCATGTTATATTATGGAAAAGTTTTATTTTAATGTCTATAAACTAGTGGCACAGACTGTAGGGGAGCTTTCCTGATGTCCAGAATCTTGCTCGATAGCCCTCACTAAATCAGAATATGCACTTTACCAAGACTCAAGAGGATTCATATGTGAATTAAAATTTAAGAGAAGCTGACTTAAGTATACTACACATTTAAAAATATCTCTTCTCAGATGCGTTGGTATTAACTTTTACCTTAAAACCATTGACAACACTGCACCTAATTTTCTAATTCTTTCCCTGCTCTTCCAGACAATACATGATTACTCAACTCCTGATTTATGGATAATTGCTACTGGCCTGTGAGGAGAAGTTTACTCCCTCTCTAAGGGCCACTACCATCTAAAGAAAGAAACAGCTGTGTGGATTAATTATCTTACATCTGGCTGTAATTAAAACTCTGGGAGAAAAGAAAAAGGAAGGTAGCTAGGAAGATCCGATAGAATGGACTGAAACAAATTAGTGCAGATGTACAGAAGAGAAAAATGCAGAATTAGTGACAGAGTTAAGTGTGGAAAATCTGGGCCAGAATTCTGTGCTGGAAATGAGGCCAGAGATCAAAACTTTAAAGAGCAAAAGAAGATTGAGTTGATCAGTCCTAGCAGAAATTTAAAGTTTGTGCTAGTGTGGATGAGGGACCCTGACAAGTAACATGATCTACTGGCAGAAAGCCTGTATGAGCTGGGAATCCTGTTGGTTAGGAGCTGTGACTGGAAACGAAGAGCAAATGCATTACCATGGAACTACAGAGCAAGCTTCTTGGTTTTCTGAACATTTTCTTCTAAATGCTCTTGCTATGCTAATGAGGGGTTTCAAATTGGTATAGTTTTGATGATAGGTATGTGGGTTTTTTTAATTAAAGATTTCTTTCTCTAATCTCTTCCATTTCCAAAATTTTCTGACTATTGACTATTACAGTTCCTTAAGCTTTTAAATTTTTTTTTCTTCCAGGTGAATACACTGTAATGACAGCTCATTTCCACTTGAAAAGAAAAATCGGGTACTTTGTGATTCAGACGTATCTGCCTTGCATCATGACTGTCATTCTCTCCCAAGTGTCATTCTGGCTCAATAGAGAGTCTGTGCCTGCGAGAACTGTATTTGGTGAGTGAATTCACTACGCTGGTCCTAGTATGGCACATCATGTTCTGAAGCACATTTTCAAAGTAATTGTGTCTCTGGATTCTCACATCAATGCTCTGTAATGTGCAGGACAGGGAATATAGGCTCTACTTTATTGGTAAGGAAACTGAGGCTCAGAGAGGTGCAGTGCAGTCAGTGATAAGAAAACATAACTTGTGCTTAAATAGCCTGGAAACAAATTCACGTCTTTTACTGATGGTAAATCATTCTGTGCTTGTTAGCATTTGTCTCCAAAACATTAGCTCAAGCAGAATTTCTTTAATGTCTAACTGTAGCACTTTTCTAGACTGATTAAGCTTCTTACCCTTTTGCTTTTAGGTTAGAAGGATGATATTAGTGTTTTAGGTTTCAGAGAGAAGAAATCTGGGAGGGAGAACTCATTCTCTCTTACTGATGTGTCTGGTTTGCTTGATTAACCCAAGAAGGGACATTTTCAAAGTTAGAGTATGAAACACCATTTTTTAGCATGTTTTTGGTTTTGCTTTGACAAAAGGAATATGATTTTTGTATGGGAGAGATAATTTCATTAGTGTACTTAATTATAAGGTTTTAAAATTATAATCATGCAAAGGAAGTTAGTTACTTTTGGGAGACATATGAATTACTGCACATTTTAGAAGAAAGTAAGTCATTTTTGTATGTTTGGTCTACAAATTCATTTACTAAGAACTTAGTTTCCCAGGTACAGTGACAAGAGTTTGGGATGCAGATATGAATGAAATATAGTCTCTACATCTATATAGCTTAGTATTATAGATTGTAGCAGAAGAGAAAAGAATGACTATAAAAGCAGAACCATAATAGAAAAGGCATAGTCAAGGTATAGAAAGTGAAATATACAGCATCTCAAGGAGAATTCATGGAGAAAGTATTGAGTTAAGTTTTGAACTAAGTCTTGAAGGATGACTAGGAATTCCTCAAGCAAGACAAGAATTCTAGTCAAAACCAGGTTGGGTAATGACACGGCTGGATGAAAGAACATGGGGTATTGTTTCAGGATCAGTACAGGCACATATAGAGATTGTTTGAGACAAAGATGGGGAGGGATTTGTAGGCATGTTCATAGAATGTACCTTTTCCCTTAAGAATGCACAAACCACTAGATTATTTTGAGGTCATAATATCAGTAAAACCCTCAGAACAATGTTTGTCATTTAATACGTGCTACAAATTGTTAGTCATTCTTTTTTAAAATAGTAATTTGTATGGTTGATATGAAAGTGTACATGTTTACTCATTTAATTTGTGGATTAGTACACACTAATGAAACCAATACCTCCATCAGTGCCAGCCACATATCCACCAATTCCCAGGGTTTCCTTTCACTTCCTTTTTCAAATATGTGTATCATGGGCAGGTATATATATGGATCTAGATGCGGATGTAGACAGATATAGACATAAACATAGGCATCAGGGGAACAAGAGGGAAGCAGAGAGAAAGCCAAATATATTGAACAGATTGGACCAGATGAAAGTTACTAATGCAAGTTAATTAAGTGAGAAAAGCTGCTTGGAATAAGATATACTTAAGCACAAATGAGCAGGCAGATATGGAAGATGTTGCATACATACAATATTTTGAAGGAAAAAGGTAGAAGTAACTGAATATACACATGATTCATCATTATTTAAACATTATTATGTTATTGACACAGACATTTAAATAACATGTGGAACAACTTTATGGCAAGCAACAAGCAAAATGTTTTACATATTTCTTTATTATTTTATGATAGTTCTAGAACTTACCTTACAGATAGATGAGGTGGGTAAATGAAAGATCAGAGGTCAGAATCCATGAAAATATTAAATTGACAGGATTCCGAAGACATGAGAAAACAAAATTTCAGTATAGCACAGAGCAATGTTAGATAGATCTACAAATTGTGATGTCTAGCTTTTAAAAAGATTAAAACCTTACAACTTTAAATCTTACTTGGTGACACCATGTCACACATCTATGTCCTTTCCCCACCTGTTCTTTTTTGGTTCTGGGAATCAAGTCCAATGCCCTGAGTATACTATAAAATATAAAATCAAATATAATTTATGACACTCCTCAATAAAAAATAGCATTTACTTATTGTTACAACGTTAGTTTTCTTTATGCTGATGTTCATGCTTATCATTCTCTTTCATTACAGAGCAGTTGACATAGTTTACATAACAGTCAATGAATTATTTTCTTTTCTCTTTTTATTTTAAGAAGAAAAGAAAAATATAATACAGAATTTCAAAACTAGATTTTAGGATATTAACAATGGTTAAAATACTGTGTATTGTTGTCGTCAATATGTCTCATTCAGTATTTTGTGCTCATTTGAATAAGAAATTTATATTGTCATTAATCATTATTGAATTAAGCAAAAGAATATGATATTATATGTGGTCTTTCATAAAGCTACATTTGAATAAATAATACATTGGATGACACTTGTGATCTCAGCCCTCTGGGAGGTCGAGGCAGGAGAATTGCAAGTTTTATCACAACTGGGGCAATTTAGAGACTTAATGAAATCTTTTCTCAAAAATAAACAAAAATTATAATAATTGACAAGGTCTGGGGTTGTATCTCAGGCAAAGACCCTGGATTCATTCTGTGATATCTGAGAAAAAGAACATAATGAAATGGTATTTAGCAACTATGTTTAGTTCTAATCTAATTGAACCGGACATTTCAACAGAATAACAATCTTTAATGTAAGTTGATATTTTTTCAATATGAAGTATGATTCATAGGTCTCTTCACACAGTTATGTACACAAGGGTTCAAAGTTCCCATTATATTTTTCTTTTACGGTGCTTTGTAGATGCTCATCTTGTGGCATACATCTTACCACTGATCTTGGAGAATTGTACATGCTAGAAAAATGAGAGCTGAATGATTCAAAAAGCCTCTGGGTAGAAGGGCAGTAGTTCTGCACAGAAATGGGCAATTCTCAGCACTTAACTCAGTAAAGGAAAAACTTCCCAAAGTAAGAACATGTTCAATTCTAAGGGCCAATAATGATGTCTCCACTATCACAAGTACAAGAAAGCAAGACAACGCTGCATAAACTAATGTGTGTTTAAAATTGCAAAGATTATATCTGTAAGAGGATGATATGTTCATAGTATGGGGAGATAATGTAGGAAATGGGAGCAAAGGACATTAACAAAGACATGGAAACCACTACGGAAAACTAACATGGTGACAGCAAAAAATGACCACCAATAAAACATATATAGAAGTGATATTGAAGGAAAAATGTCATAACCCAAGAAAAGCAGTAACATTTTCTTCTCAAGAGTACATTGAATGTTTTCCTGGAAGGACCACATATTAAGTTATAAAGTAACTCAATAAATTTGAAGAAATTGGGGTAACAAATTTTCTCAAAGCAGGGCAATGAAGCTAGCATTCAGGAAAAACAAAAAAAAAACGGAATCTATACCAATATGTGGAAATCAAGTACCACCTCAGTAAACCAACTGGTTAAATCATAAACCTATAGGAAACTAGGGAAACTTTGAGACAAATGAAAATAAAAATGTAGTACACAAAATTTTATGGAATTCAGGGAGAGCAGAGCTCAGTCAAAAATTGATAGCAGTAAGTATCTACAATAAAACAGAAAGACCTCCAAGCAATAACTTATCTTTATGGATTCATGGAATAGAAAAATAAGAACAAACTACTATAAATACAGAGCCAGTAGGGAGAAGAAGATGATAAAGTTTATAAGAGAAATAAATAATATAGAAAATAGAAGAACAAGAATGAGAGTAAACAAAATAAAAAGTTGGCTCTTTGAAAAGTTCAGCAAATCCCAGCAATTTTAAACTAGACTAAAGTGAAGACAAAAGATGCAAAAATTAAAATCAGAAATAGAAGTGGAAATTTTGCTGTCAACCTTACAGAATTAAAAGGTTATAAGAAAATAATAAAGCAATTGTATACCAACAAATTTGGTAACTTAGGTAAAAGGGACAAATTTCTTGAAAAACACAAATTAGTAAGCCTGAATGATAAAAAAATAAAAAATGAGGTTTTTAATAAGAGATTTAATGAGTAATCAAAAGCTTCATAACAAAAAAATTACTGTGATCTAATGACTTCAGTGGTGATTTCTACCAAATACTTATAGGAAAAATAGCACCATTTGTGTTCAATGGTGCTTGCACAAACATGTGAAGTAATGTGCAACATCAGTGGCCACTAAGGAAACTCATCTCCAAACCAAGATGATATATGTTTCATATCTCCCTTGGTTGGTTACAGCCAACCAAGGGAGATATGAAATATCTTCAAGTTTAAAAAAAAAGTGTGTGTTGCAGGATGAAGAGAAGGGCGCGCTGATGCATTGCTGGTGGCCTTTAGACTGGTACATCTGTGGACAAGAGCTTTGCCTTGCCTCACAATGCTACAGAGACAATGACCAGAACGCTTGGTAAATTGCAACTCTAGGTATATCTGTAAAAGTAACTGGAACATACTTTCACTCTCAAACATGTACGCAGATGCTCATAAAATGTTATTCCCAGTAGTTAAAAGTGGGGAATAAACGAATGTCCATCAACAGTGGGTGAATGTACAAAATGTAGTAGATACTTACAATGAGGTATCATTCATCCCTAGACCCTTATGTCCCAGAACAAGGAAAATATAGAGATACACAGCAATCTGTTAGTTGCCAGTGGAGAGGAAACAAGGAGCAATTAATTCATGTGGATAGTCATTTTGCTGGGTGGATGAACAACGTTTTGAAACAAGATAGACATGGTGGTGTTAGAACATAGTGAGCACATAAATACTATGAATTGTAGACTTTACCTGTGTGTTTTGTGAATTTCCTTTCAGTAAAAACTTGTGCAAGCTGTGAGTTACAAAATCTACATAGAATTTTTTTTTCTTTTTTTGGTGGTACCAGGGATCATACTCAGGACCTTGCACTTGCCAGGCAAGCACTTATTCCACTG